TTTTTTCTTCATTGAAAGTAATTTTTATGGGGGAGGGGCCATTCGTTTTTTGCACTGGGGCCCATGACTTATGAGACTGAACGTGTATAATGCCAGATTGGACATTGAACAAAAAAAAAGAATTAATGTATATTGCTTGTAGTGCAACATATTGTAAAGCAAATTTAAGTAGATCACATGAGAGCTAGAGTAGCCACATGTTGCCTAACATGAGAACAATGAGTGGCTATAGGATTGCAATCTTTTTATTGTATGCCTCATTTTGAAGTGACATTGTGTGATATTTTCAGTGATATTATTTTTTGTGAAAGAGTTTAACCTAATTAAAGAAAAGTTTCAGTTTTGTATAAGTCATGTTGTTGGCTATGCATTTCCTCCTGCTGGGTAGTACACTGTTTGTTTAAGGAATTTGAGCTTAGTACATTAAGATGGCCATCTGAAAGGGGAATTCCACTGATTTTTCTCATTTTTCTGCACAATTAAATGGATACAATTTAAACAAGTTATTCAGAGTGCTTTAATGTGAAATGCACCATTCTAGAAAAACTTACCAAGTCTGAACTGTCCACAGAGGTGGTAAACCAGACATCTGAAGAAGTTAATGTCTTTAAAACCTCCAACACATGTAGTTGTGACAAATATGCTGCCTGATGCCCAAAAAATGGTTGTGGCAGTAACTGACATGGTGAAGTCAACCTGATGATTTCAAGATCTGGATTACACCCACCTCTGGACTACAATAGTGCAGCTGATGGTAATTTTCCATTGAAAACAATGCATAGCCCAACATCAGGCTTAGTCTGTATCAAGCATAGGCAGGAGGCAGGAATCTCTTTCCTTGCCAGCAATCGCCAAAGATAGACAACTCAGTTACACATCGGCAGAAACAAACAGAATCATTAGAAGAGTTTGCATGATACCGCCCACTACACAGAATGAACAAAAGAGAGGAACCCTTGTGTGATTCTACAAAGCACGCAAAGGTGTGGTTCAGAATGGAAAAAGAGAAAAGGTCACCGGCTGGTTTCACAAAGTCTTGGAGGTGCAAGCATGGGAATGGCCTTGAGCAGCAGAGTGGCCACACCTGGTCAGCCTTGGTAATTTTTGATATGAGTCAACTCACTTTTCAGCCCTTCATTCACCTGCAGTTGATTCTGATTGTGAGCAAAGACATCAGATGAGATCAGAATGTTAAACTAGGCAGCTAGTTAAAACGGGTCTCTTTGCCACACCTTGTGATTGCTATGATGATCTTACATGTTGCAGAAGCGCCCTCTGCTGTTGGGAAATATCCCCAATCAGTCAAGACAATCAGTGATAAACAGGTGCTTAGAGAGACACTCTGGGCATAAAAAAAACATTAACCGTTGTTTCATCTGTTGTAAATGTGCATGTTTGCCTTTTACAGTGGTGCCAAAGATTTCCTGGTTGTAAGACTAGAAAAGCCATCTACTGATGATGCATTGTGTAGGTGAAAATAGATTTTGAGAGACTACAAGTCCTTTGGGGTGGATACTTGGAGGATCAGCTGTTTGAAATTCTTCATAGTTCCTTAAAAAAAATTGATGTCCATTTGAGGTTCTATTATAGCGACCACCACAGATGTATTCATTACACTAGTAGAATAGCCTCAACAATTGCAATAGCACATGTAAACACTCCATATACTCCTGGAAAAAACAGCTTTGATTTTGCCTACATTCTTACCAAATTCTGACTACTATAGTAGGGTATAGTCTGTAAGAATGTAGGGAAAAGATCCTATTCTTTTACAACCCCGTTTCCAATAAGGTTGGGGTGCTGTGCAAAATATAAATGAAAACAAAATGCAATGATGTGCAAATCATTTAAACCCTGTATTTAATTGAAAATAGCACAAAGGAAACATCCAATGTTAAAACTAAAAAATTTTTGCTAATTTTGAATTTGATGCTAACAACACGTTTCAAAAAAGTTGGGAAGGGGCAACAAAAGACTGGTAAAGTTGTGTAATTCTAAAATAACACCTGGTGGTTAATTGGCGACAGGTCAGTAGCATGATTGGGTATAAAGGGAGCATCCCAGAGAGGCTGAGTCTTTCAGAAGTTAAGATGGGGAGGGGTTCACCACTCTGTGAAAGAGCAATAGTACAACAATTCAAGAATAACATTTATCAACATAAAATAGCAAAGAACAGCTTTTTCTCATGTGACTTAGAATATCAATACAGGATGTGATCAGTGAGTGTCAGCAAGAACAGTCCATCTACAAATACATAGAGATATTATGGTAGGGTTGCAGTGCATAACCCCCTTATTACAAAGATTAACGCATGTTTGAGAGTTCAGTGGTGCAGAAACCATAGACCCTGCTGTTGTGGAAAAAATGATATGGTTGGATAAGTCATCCTTCACCATATTTTGACAAGTGGACAAGTGCATATGTGGTATACACCAAGAGGACAATACAGGCATGAAAGCTTGACCACTACAGTGAAGAGGCTTGGTGGCCCTGAGCATAAAATGATGTAATTAATATGCTATGGCCTTCACAGTCACCTCATCTCAACCCAACTGAACATCTACGGGAGATTTTGGGCCAACGTGTTAGACAGCATTCTCCACAACCAGTCTTGTAGAAGAACAGTGTTCCATCCCTCTAGTACAGCCCCACAAACATGCAGAACATTAATGCTGTTCTGGTGACTCATGGTGGTCCAACACCTTACCAAGACACTTAAGACATGTTGGTTTTTCTTTTATTACTTGATGTTAATTGATATGATGATTACTATGTGCTTAACATCAGCTAACTCAGTTACCCAATCTGTTAACCGCTAACATTAATACTCCATTCATGCATCAAACACACTGTCTTTGTGTCTTAAACGGTTACAACACTGACAAAAAATAGTTCAATACAACTAGGTACAATAAACCTCTGCAAGGTAGCTCAGCAGCTATACTGCTTCCCCTTACATGTTTTACTTTCTAGCCAACTAGCTGTCATGCAAATAAAAGTTTTACTTTTAATTTTAATTAGCTATAGTGTTATTTATTAAATAGCAATGCTGTGAAGATGTTGAAGAAGTCTCCGCTGACACCATCTTGCTTGTATAAGATGTTTATTGCAAAGTAAGACAGTATCATATCAAGCACTATAAAGTACCTGAGAGGGGATCCATGCCAATTCTGAAGTGTCCCCTCCAGAACAATATAACCTTCTGCTTATATAGGGTGGTTGTTATGGAAAAAGGAGACGGAACATATAGTCCTTCTTAGAATAGTCTCATTCATCTGGAACTAAAGAGGAAGGGGACCTTGAGCCTTGGGCCTTTGGACCAGGGGCCCCTTCACTTAAACATTCCAATCCTGCAACGTCAGATTACACCTGGAGCTTGGATACTACACCTTCTTCTATAAAGCTACTCTTTAAATATACTTCAATAGCTAACTAATGCCACCCAGCTAGCTAGACAGCCAGTATAAAACAAAAAACGTTGTATTTTTACTTGTAGGAACAAGAGCAGATGTGGGAAAAAATGATAGCAAATTGGCCTAAGTAGCTTAGCAAAAATGAGAAGACAGTGATCCTGGCCATCTCCTAATCCTACCATTATATCAAAAAAAAAGACTGCAACACACTAGCAGTGTATGCGTAACGCAAGTTCTTAAATTGAGTGAATAATACTAAGCAGCTAAAAATGTTAATTAAATATTTCTATAGTTCTATAAATTTCTATCTTTAATGCAATAATTCCTTTTAATTGTAGAAAGCAGATGAATTAATAGAATAAAAAAAGAATTAAATGTTTCTGTTTTTCTTCAGCAAACAGGCTTTGTAACGTTAGCATTACTGCTATGAGTGCTTAGTGATGCTGAAATATTTTACACAGTTCTGCAAGTCCCGGCCTTCAATAAAAAAGCCAACCTTGCTGGTTACATCAACCCCCCCAGTTGTGGATCTCTGCGTGCAGCAGCCAGAACAACCTGAAAAAATACTTTAAATACTTGAAAAAATAATTTATTAACTATAACTATTCATACAATATTTTGTCAGATTTTACCAGTGATTTCAAATATGTTTCTGAAATACTAATTCGGCCTTCAGTTTAGAGTATTTTTTGATCTCTCCTCATTTATAAGGACAGGAGTCCGGTCTTGTGTGGCTGGAAATAACTGCCCGGCTGCATTGCCAAGATGGCCGCTGAGTGGGCAGACTTTCCTATAAGGATTTTGGCAGTTCTCCTCACTATAAATTCTCTCTTCTTACCCACCAATCTTTACCCCATAATTCACAAACGTACCCATTCTCACCTACACTGGCTTGTTTAAGCAGATAATACCAGAAAAGGGGGTGAAAGAAAATGCTGTTAACTACACTCACATATTCCTTCATGGATGGGCAGGTCGATCATGCAGTATCAGTATTTCTGATTCTGACACTCTTTTTGAGAATCCTCACATTTAAAAGAGGTGCTTTCTTTCATTATTAATAATTAATTAATACTACTTTTCCTTTTGCATCTGCTATCTTGTGGTTTTTTATTGATAATTGGTAATGCAGTACCCCCCCCCCCCAGTATCTGTATTGGTAGTAGGATATTAACCTTGTTACTACTTGATATCAACCCCCCCATCCCTCCATTACTCTAATGAAATGTACATTACACTAGTACACTAGTACATTACACTGCTACAGAGAGCCATCTAGTGGACACAAACTTTATCCTGTAACCAGGAAAGAGCACTAAAATAGAAACTTCAGATAATAATTATAATTATGCCAATAAGCCAGACTAAAAAGTTAGTGTGAAAGTTCTGACTAATTCCCAGAGATTTTAAAGTAAAATTAACCCAGAAATGGTTAGAATGACTTTGTTTCCACAAAGACTCTTCCTGGATTCAGCTTTTTGTCAATAGAACTTCTGTCTGTGTCAACAAATGTATGTAAATAGTCAGAGAATGCCCTACTGTGTTGGTTTCGACTATTATTACATGTTCTGTTGATGATACCAATGGGAAGAACAGTAATTATCACTACATATATTATTTTATTACACAGCAACAAAGAATATTGTCCATTATGTTCCAAGTCCATAATAATTACAGTTGAGAGGCCTGTTTCAGGTGCTGGAGAGCCATGGTCCAGCAAATTTACATAATTTTCCTGCTCCATGGTAACTACCACAACTGGAGTTTTAGCAAAGAAATGATCAAACTGTGCTGCACAAAGGGGTTCCATGACCTACACTAGACCCATCCCCCCAGTTTAAGGCCTCCAGCCTGGGTTAGCTGTTCATAAATAGAGTAAATGCCATTTGGCCACTGGCTGTCGAAGAGAGCGCATCATGAGCTTCCAGTGTTCATCCTCTATGGTCTTCTCCTTCCCTAAAATGACTTGACCGATCAGGTGCTTGGAGGACTTCTTCCCAGGACGCATTTCATAGACGGAAACTGTGATAGAGCACTCCCTGATTTGGGTGTCCGGCAGCACAAAGATCAGGACTTCATTGAAGACCGTCACATCCCAGCGGACCTTCTCTGTGGTCCGCTGATGTCGGATTTTACACTGATTGCAGAGGACACTGGTTCTGGCATATAGTGCTGCAAAACAAAGACCAAACCATTTTAGTGCCATGTCACTTGTTGCTCCTGGATCAGGCAGCACCCTGAAGCATTGACCACAGAGTGGGGGGTTGGGAGTACATTTTTATGTTGGCCAAAGAACTTTCATTACCCTCTTTCATGTACATATTCTTGGCATGAATTTATTCCACCCATTCTTTTAGATGAAAATAGAGATGCTTAGGTTATAGGCCTACTGGGTGTGGTACTACTTGACCTCTACTTGTTTTTAAGTGTTTGATTTAATTCTGCACCAATTTAAATTTAAATTTAATAAAGTAACTCTCTGCAAGCGGGGTGGGGGCTTGTGAAGTGCTGATGCTTAGCCAAACCTAACAAACATGTTCTGTGGTCCATTCTCTGAAGAAACCATATAATTGTGTTCTTGAAAACCTGCACAGTCAGAATTCTTCCTGAATTTGAGTGAGAGCATTTGTGAAATGTAACTAAGATTTTTTTCTTTTGTGTTTTGCCGCAATATTTTACCTCTCTCTGTCTTGCTGGAGCGGAAAACTGTCCTGATCTTCAGGATTCCCACTTCCAGCCTCTGAGACGTGGGCATGTATTTCAGAGAGAGAAGGACCTCTCCAACAACATCCTACAAATGAAAGACTGGATATTTGGCCCTCAAAGTTTTTCCAAGTTATAGGCTTACCATCAGCTGCATTGTCAGTACTTGCTTTAACTATTTTTCTTGCTGTAATTGTTTTCCAGTAAAATGACTCACTTTCTTTGGTCGTTGTAAGTCCTCCAGTATTTCCAAAGGATATATGATATTTAGATTGTTAAGAGGGGCTCGGACCTCCCCCAGAATGCCATGTCTGGCGTATTTATCAAAATCTCTGACCTGAAAGAAGAAGAAGAACAACAAAAACAATATAGAAATAATGCACATTGTCCCATAAGGCATATTGTTCATAAAGAAAATCTTCAATCGTTCAGTTCTGAAAAAATAGAAAATAAAGTGGCTCAGCAACAACACAGCTGGTTAATCAGTTTTAGAGGCCTTTTTAAACCTCTGGACTGCCTTTATCTATTTTTGCCACCGCAGATCTGTTATTTTCTATTGTATAATTCACAGATCTATTTTGTGGCACAAATTGTCTAAACCAAACTAGCCTAGCTAAATTTCTTTACATCTTGAGAAAATTTATTGCAATTTCTATTTATTGCTATTGCAATCCCTGGTTATTACACAAAGATAAGACTTTATTTGGATAGCCCACTGTAGATGCTTTGTAGATACTTAACTTGACTTTAATTCAACTAAATATCGATTTAATTCACCTTAATTTTCCTCAACCCTAAACCTGGACATAACCCTGACTCTAACCTTGAATATGAATTCCACAGACTTTTCAAATTCCATAATTAAATGCTTTCGATGTGAACAAAGTCATTCAGGGTGGTTTAGCGTGAATTGCTCTGTTTCAGGGAAACCTACCGAGATGTCTGAAGAGTTTCACGCCTCTAAAGGAGATTTCACAAAAATTATTACATTTTTTATTACAAACTATTACTGATATGCCGCCTGATACCTGACAGTTTGTTTTATGATAGTTTTCAAAGAACCTAACCTAAATCTAACCCTGACCCTGGTCCAAAACCTAACCCTAACTTTAACCCTAACACTGTTCATCTGTAGCCACTGGGGTCTATCCAAGTAAAGTGAGTTTCATAGTGAAGTCTGAATTTGTTGCTTGTCAGACCTCAGGCAAGCGCCTAATGCATCCTGAAGGTCATGCCCCACTGGTACTTCAGGGGACCATGTAAAGCCAGTAGCCTGACCTCATAACCTGTACCATGGCCTTTGACACAGCAGGCGCCCTCACCTCCATGCGGACGGTGACCCTGGACACGTCCTCCTCGGCCAGTGTGCAGGAGAACTGATCTCCAAACACGGGATTGCAGCTGTCCTTCACCAGGCGCGTCTGCCACTCCTGCAGCACACAGCTCAGCCGCTGCTCGTCCCCCTCTCTGGCGGCCCACAGAAGCCGAAGACGGACAAAAGGGTCAGCGCTCCGGCTGAAGTCTCGCGCCGCCAAGCCCCGCGCCTCCAGCACCGTCACCACCAGCCGAGACTGGAGCTGGTCATAGAAAAGCGAGAAGCGCAGAGTCCCCTGAACGCGCTCCTCGTCCGGCTCCCCCAGACTGTCCATGCTGCTGGCCAGGTCGGAGCTGCGGGACAGACAGCGACTCAGCCGCTCAGCCTCATCCTGACGGGACTCCAGCTGAGACAAGCACATGGAGTTCAATTCACACATTGTTCTCACCTCATCCCAAATGTAGTAGACCAGCCAAAACATGTCAGATGTCTGAAGTTTGCTTCTTTAGCTTTGCAGTGGAGCTACGAGGCTAATAACAATCAGTGGAAAACTTAGAGCCAACTCTGTTAGCATTCTATCAACTGCCTCACGCCATGTCATTGTCAAACTAAGCTGCATAGCTAAAAGCAGTATTGGCACCCATTTTAAAACCTGAATTTTGTCTGTACTTTTGTCCATTTTTGTAGATAACAATATATCATACAGTCCTATAAATTGGGATCATTCCTATGTATCCAGGGTCCTTTTTTTGCTCAATATAATTTTAGAAACGGTCCTATGTTCCCAGGGCCTACGTTCCCTTAATCTTAAATTCCAATGTCCCCATGTTTCAGCCCCATGTTGCCTCAGTCAGGTCTTCTCAACATGAAATGCAGGACCACCACACATACCTCTGGTATATTTCTGATATTATGTTCCGTAACTAATATCTGAAATTCGGTTTTCGGACATGCCGCTTCTAAATAGGTCAATGTATTAAAACAAACTCTGGCTAAACATTTTAGTGAACAAGAATGAAAATCTATTCAGCGACTAGTGTTACAAAACAACATTAATAATCAAATTATGATAGCCGTCTAAATAAACAAAACAGGCCTATATATTTTCCCTTATCTCTTTTAAGGGTTCTGATCTAATTGCCCAAAATTATGTATGTATGATTGTCTGACTCTAACTGGAACTTAAAATACTGTCGGGTGAAAATGCATTATTTCTACCTGTACTACAATACAGAACATGAGAAACACCCACATACAATCCAAACACTGCATGTTTAATGTAGATTAATGTAGATTAAGTAGATTAAGTCGAGGAAAAAAGTCCACACCAACAGTATGTAATATGTAAGATCAGGATTCCTAAGTACATACTAATAATATGTAGACCAGCATCTATGACTGGACCTAAGCTGTGTGAAATGATAGAAGTCATTCAGATTCTCTAGAAAGAGCTTTAGAGACGTACCTTGTAGTCTGGCGTTGGGGAATTATTTTGAAGGTTCTCATTCTGTGTAGACTGTTCATTTGATAGTAAACCATTAACTGCAATCGAATACATACAATAACTGAATATATATGGTACAGTTATATAAATTACATGCTGCAGTTTCATATGATTATTTTTCAGGCCTCTAGCTTAATGTCTTCCTTCCCAAATATCGTGCATCTTTTTTGTGTTTACAGCAACAACTTTAACATTAAATGAACAACTAAAAGTGATTCTTTGGGCTCAATTGTGTAAAAAGGCTCATGGTGTTATTTGTGCTTAAACGTACCGTCTTGTTTGGGAGCAGGTTGCTGTGTGCAGTATCGGTAAATTTGCCATATCAGAATGCACAGGGCCACAAAGAGGAGTGTGACAGAAATCCCTAAAATACTGTACTTCACTTCCTGCGAGAGCGGTATGTGGATCTCCCAGAAGGAGTTTTCCAAAGTCACTGGAAAAGACATATCCCCCTGCCATGTACAGCTCTGCAGAGAAAGAGGAATGCTGTTACCTGTGTCTGTTACATTAACTGATGTCTATTGCTTGTTATTCAAATTATAGACAGTAATTATAATGCATGGCTGGCACTTTGGTGATAAGGACACATCTTGGACTGCATCATAAAGTCATTCACTCAGAGAGGATGGCATTCAGAGTAAAGAGGCAAATGTTCTGTAAAAGTTTAACCCCTACAGTGCTTGTATATGGGTTCACATTTCAATTCTTTACTATTATAACCATGTGGCAGATGTTAGTTTAAGAGGACTTACCAAGGTTATAATTTGCAGTAGTTACTGAATAATCTTAAGTCTTAAATCTTAAGATTAGTGACCAAATACAAGCCTAGGGTTCAAGAGGTTAAAAACAGAACAATTTGTAAATATTACAAACTAAAGTCAGTAAGCAATGTGAGAAAACCATTCAACTACCATTCAACTCTGCAAGATCATATTAGGATCTCAGCATTTTTTTGTTTGACCTGAGGAAAAATATATAGAAATTCCACACCAAAACCTTACCTCTTTATAAGAATTTGGACTTTATTCTGGTCATCGTTGGCCTAAGACCCACGTAGCTTCAGCCTGCATCCATCTTCAAGTAGGCTTACCGGAGACATCAGCTGACAGGTGATCAGCAAACACAAGTGAAAAACCAGTCTGAGCACTTTCCTATTCCTCAGGCCTGTCTTTGACTGGGCTTAACTCCCTCATTCCCAAATAAATAACATAACTCAGAAGATGCACACACACTGTAGCTGCTTTGACAAGTCACTCGTCTTTACAGCTTCACTGTTCTCATCAGTCTGTGCAAACGCAGCTGCAAATGGACATTTATCACGCCACAGTATCCAAATAGCCTGCCCTTGAGATTGGAGATTAGTGAAGCAAACAGGTCTCCTTCAACTTCCTTTTACTTTTACACTGTCAGTCAAAAGTTTAGACAGAACTACTCAAATGATGAAATAACACACATAGAATTATGCAGATACCCCAAAAAGGTGTTAAACAAGTCAAATCTATCTAGTCTGATTTTATGCACTGCGCTGCTGCCACATGATTGGCTAATTAGATAATTACATGAATGAGTAGGTGTATAAGTGTTCCTAATAAAGTGCTTGATGAGTGTATATACACACACACACATAGTTGTATGTGAATGTTTGAACAGCCCCAATCAAATAAGATGTTGAATTTCTATGTGAAAATAAGTACACATCCTCTGCAGAGAACACTGAAAAATTTAGAGCGCAATTTCCATTTGCTGTGTTTAACATATTGGAAAAATATATGTAAAATTTGCCATAACTTTCACACTGGCCACATTTTATGTTTTATTTTTCCCAATATGTTAAGTTCAGCAAATAAACAGAAATTGTCAATGTTTTTTTTTATTAAAAATATTTTGTATACATGCATAAACAAACAGTATCTGTATTTGTCTTAGAAACAAAGTTTGACTGGTAGGAAAAAAACAAATAAAGCTTTTAATATTAACTCAGAATAAGTTTCTAGGGATTCCAGTAATAATCCTTACACATTCCAGCACTGATTGCTATGATATATGTTGTAAAGGAAAAGACTGCTATAGAATTCACTTAATGTTCATCTAAATGAAATGATACATTGTTCTACAAATGTTAAAGTAATGCCACACATATGAGGATTCTTTTCTAAAATACTGTCAAACCTTTCAGCAAAAGATTAAAAACTAAAATAAAGACATTCTTTCTTGTCAGGGATATAAATTCCACTTAATTCCTAGTGTTAATTCATAGTTACAGTACAGAAGGTGCAGTTTCTGGTCAGTGAAATGTAAGGATTGAAGGAATACTCCAGCATTTTTCAACCTAATCCACATCTGCCACATCTGAAGCATACAAAGGATTTTCATGAATAATAATTTTCTAGAACAGAAAATCTGTTGATTTAAAACACACTTATAATAGAAGCCAATGGGCAGATGTTTCAGTGCTCAAAAGAGTGGAGCTGTGATAAAATTTACAGTTTTCCACTTACCCCAGTCAATCAGCCAAGACATTTTGTTTAAAACTTGAGCTAAAAAAAATATATATTCCAAATTTCAGTCTATTGCAAGGCAGACACACAGACATATACAATCACACACACACATTGCAGTGCTCACACATAACGTATTTCAATGCAATTTGATGATATTAAATCTTCAAACTGCATTTTCACAGTGTATTAATACCTACATTTGTTTTTGCCATGTTGAAAAAATTTAGACGCTTGAATACAAAGTGTATTCCAATTCAAAAGGTATTCCAAACAGTGCATTAGACAAGTATTTTGGCTATTTTTATACATTTTCAAATGTACTCGATGAATATATTTACCTACATTTTATTATTTATTTGGTACATTTCTATGTGTAATATTTCTCCAAATAAATGTATTTCAAAATGTATTTGGTTAATATGGCAATGTATCAATAGTGTTTAGTGTTTGGAATGTATTTTGGCATAGACTGAAATGTACTTCAAATATATTAAAATATATGTCCATATATACATATACATACACACACACACTAGGTATTAAGTAATTGCTAAAATTTTATTTAGGCTACTTATGCTAACTACCAGCTCCTGCACACCACACTGAAAATTTTCCACAGCGGTGCAAGATATTGTGGTGGGTCAGACCTCTACCTCAGGCAGCCAATTAAGACAACAGGTGTTGTTTTGCGTGTAAACGGGTCAGGTGATTTCTGTGGTTTCTGTTTATAAATAACTATTAATATTGAATTCTCTAACTGAAGCTATATGTTTAAAAACAGAAACAGAAATAACAAATATCACTCAGTGTCCATATGTCTACGTAACATGCATGCACATAAAGGGGAGCTGGATTCTGTGAGCTGGGCAATCAGAATTCAGTTTAACACACCAAACATGTCTTGGCTGATCAACTACATCTGGGTTAAGTGGAAAATTGTGTAAAGCTGATTTTTTGCTGACCTACTCCTTTAAACATTAAATAGAAAAATGCTGAGTATTTCTTTTAGACCTTAGCTTTTGTTGTAAGAAAGACTGAATCCAAGCCGCTACAGGAACAACACAGCTGCTCCTCATATATCACTGAGACACTAACCAACATGAACAGTAAGCAGAGAGCTGGGCTGGAGACTTACAGAAGGTCATTATAAGGAGAATGTCTTGTTGGTTTTAGGTTTGTTTGCTAGTGAACCTGTGTACCTATGACAATGATGTTCACTTTGTGCATCATATGCAAAGCACTAGCAAACACTTGTCACATTAGACAGTATTTAATAAGAAAAGCTCTCTCTAGAACACTGCACTTTTTCCAAACCACTAAAAACTATATGATTAATAACCCCAACTAATAAAAACAGTTACATCCACAGCCTCAGTTTCATGTGCCTCAGGTAACAACACATTTATATTGTTTTCAGTTGGAATCTAGACATATTTGTCAAAATGACAACTACCTTCTAAACATCTCACCTCAGCACTTTTCCCATATGTTCACTGTGCATATCATACAGCCCTAAAACTGTGCAAAAGACTGAAGTGCAATGAACTCACAGTTTGGATTGGTCATTGTGTTTCCACAAAACTGATATTCTCAGAAATTAACCAGAACTTAAGTGTATGAATACTCATCTAATCAATAACAAGCAACGTTGAACAGGATATTACTGTATATTAGCAGTCCTTTGCAGCATCACCAGGGCAGCGGTTCACCAGTGTAATGCAGAAATGAGCCATGATCCTTCTCAGATAAACCACCAATCACATTCAAGACAGAGGTGATGCTCTCTTCCGTACTCAGTGGTGCCTGCAGAACATACCAATTGAAAGCAGCTCTTATACAGTGGTCTATTTGTTATTGTTGCTTAATTTCTCTAAATAAAGGTCATAATAATTTAAGAACTATGGTTTATCTGGAAATGGATAAAATGGATTAAAATTTTGTTCTGTTGATTTTCTTAAATAAATACACATCCTCTGTGGAAAACACACTTCATATGCATATTTTAATGCACAATTACTATTTATTTGCAGAATTTAACATATGGTGGAAAAAACACAAAATGTAGCCTGAGCAAAAGTTACAGCTCATTTTATATTTAATGTTTTATATTTTTTTTGAATATGTTAAACTCAGCATATAAATAGAACTAATAGAACTGTGCACTAACATTTGCAGAAAAATAACTATAATAATTTTTAAGCTAAGTAAACATCACAATTTGACTGGCGCCGTTCAAAATTTTGCATGCAACAGTTTCCAACGTCACTCTTGGTCAGTGACAAGCAAAAATGATCAGGTCAAAATAACACTGAAGGAATTCTTAGCCATCGTCAGAGAGGGAATTCTCCTCCTAACATTCAGGTAGGGCCTTATTTACAATAGCTTTTCTTATAGCCCAACATTCGTATCTCTGTGTCTAACTACATTTAGTATGACAAGGTAAAATGACACAGAACTTATTCTGATTGGTCTAAAGTGATTACATTTTGGATAAACAGATATCAGTACCCATTACCCAGTCAGTAGTCCCATTTGGTGCAAGTACTACCTTTAATATAAGTGGTAAAAACATATGGCTTTTCAGCCACATGGTCTGATCAATGTAAGTAATTTCTTCAGGTCTGTGCTCAGGCAAGCACAGAGAACATGTGGAGCAAATGAAATTTAAATTCGCAGATCAATTTTACATTAATGGGTTACCTGTAATATGTAACTTACATGCTTGCCTAGTGTTAATAAATACATTGGTACAACAATGCTAAATGGCTAAAAAACAGAGCAATCTATGTTATACAATTGATTAAAGTTTGGTGTTACCCTGCTTCAGAATTAAGTTTTCTCTCAAGATGCTGTATGACCAATAAAAATAGAGAGGATTAGATAGATAGTGGGATTTACCTCCTGTCCCCCCATATCCGTGCGTACCCAGCCAGGATGAATCGCCATACAGAGGATTCCATCCGCCTCCAGGTCAACTGCCATACATCTTGTGACCATGTTCAGTGCACTCTGTCACAGGAGCCAAATCAATCAACAGCTTCTCAGCTTTTTCACTTTCCCCAAAAACAAAATGAGGAGAAGCCTATATGATACTTAATTAAAGATGGCAAATCTGTATGTATTTATGTTTATGGCTAGGTATGTGATTATAATCGAGATTGTGAATCAAAATTTTATTGTATTCTGTTCTGTATTTGTCTCTGTACTTGTATTTTATTGATTGTGCGGTTTGTACTAATTTTATACGTACCTTACCATGGAATGCGGATGGAAATTAGCTGGTAACAACTAGTCATAACAGTGCTACAAAGTATCTTTTCTCACTTGGGATTAAAGCTTCTATATGTAGCCTTTGACCACATAAAGGTCATAAACTCAATAAAAAAAAAGTCTTTGCTATTTACACAGGTGAGATCCCATGAAGATGGCAAATATATTTTTAAAAGAGCCCCAAGTTCGACATCTGTAAGTCCAACTTGGTCTAAAAGCCTAGTTAGTGATAATATTTGTCTCTCATCAGTTCATGTGCTCTGTACATGTTAATCAATGTGTGAAACGCTGAGAGTTGAGGCACTCATACCTTTGATGTTCTGTATGGGTACCATTTGAAGTTATTGGCATGTTCACCCCAGTTGAGCTCCACTGATCCCAGGAGAGAGGTCATGTTGATGACCGCTGCTCTGTGTATGCCCATGCCTGTCTCTTTGGCGGCAGCCCGCTTTAACATCGGAAGCAAAGCCTGGTAGAGAACACAACACATCAAATCGGTCTGACTGGCAATTTACTAACAGTGACTACACAGTATGTGTTCACCAAGGAACAATATGAGGTAGCCCACAGGTCAAACTTTGGCCCGCCATAGGTTTTCCCTGACTCCCCCCACTCTGTACAGTATAGGACCAACCATTGAGTAATAAGGTCAGGTGGATTATGTGCTTATGGCATCCGTGGTTTTGCCTGTAGTCATATTGGTGGGGGTTTAGTGTTGATGGAATGGATTCTTTAAGGTGTGCCATGACTAGCTGCTTAAAGCAATTTATGACAATTGCAGTTAGTGCAACATGGTGGTAGTCATTAAGGCGGGTGACAGAGGACTTTTGATGGTGGCTGATTTGAAGCATGTTGGGACAGCAGTCTTCTTCAGGGAGATGTTGAAGGTGTCCGTGAAGATAGCAGCTAGCCAGTGGGTGCACTCCTTAAGCACATGCCCAGGAATGTTGTCAGGGCCTGCGGTTTACGTGGGTTCACCCTCACCCTGCCCATCCTGGGAAGCTAAAGTGTAATGTTCGTTTTGGCCAAGAGCTAGCTAACTTGTTAGCCTTGCGTTTTCACACATTGTCAGTATATGCGGAACAAATTGTGCCATATATGCTTTCACAATATTGAGAATACTGCATTCTTTCAATACTGAGATAGTGTCCTGACAGAGAAAGCAGACTGTTTTGTCTTTACATTCACTGAACTTTTCTGTGTGCCACTGCCTTTGGTGATCATTGTCCATTTCTGTCTTAAGCTCATAACTGGTAGTTCCTTATGTGTTGTTGTTACATCTGCATTGCGATTAAACTGTGGTGTTAAGGGTCAATAATTTTATTCAATTATAAGTATTATTATGAAAACTATTTGAAAACAAATAAATCTTAAAAGAAAAAAAAGAAATTATATGAAAAAGTTAGTTCTCTCATTGGGTGAGGGGTGGGGAAGTTAGGGCAACCTTCTGGCAGGCCAAATCAAACACAATGTCTCACTTTAGGCTGCCCTAATACAGCATTTATCAGCATTATAAAGGTACACATGCTCCAAATTTTGATGCACAAACACATAAGGCTAATCAGCGAGCTAGCTGTTGTGTTTTTTTGGTCCTAGGCCCACTACAAGCATTACACTCTGTCCCCCCAAAGAATGTTTGTGCACCTCTGTACTAAAGTGGAGGGCAGAAGTTATCCACAAAGCTGTTCTACTATTGTGTACTCCTTTAGTAAATTAACTTTTGTTTTTAAAAAGATTTCATACCTTGGTGATCATGAGGGGGGCTACAGAATTAGTATGGAAGTTCTCCAACATCTTCTCAGCAGTTACAGTTTCAAAATTGGCAACAACATTGATTCCTGCATTGTTGATGAGGCAGTTGAGGCCATCCTCCTGCACAATCTGATCCACTTCCACAGTAGCCTTCTCTATGCTCTCTTGACTGACAACATCTAGACAGATGGGAAGATTGGGGTCTGGTTAATCTCATTCTGTAAATATTGAAAGCTTCAAAGTGAAATATTCACAGCTTTTTAAGAACTCACCAAGCTGTATAATGTGTATCTTCGGATGTTTCACTGCCAGGTTCTGTAATTCCTATTAAAATAAGTGAAAAACAAACCTGTAAAGCATAATAACAGAGTTGGTGCAAAGTACAGTGAATACTCCTCAACCTAACTGAGTTTCAACTGAGGGTTGAAAGTAACATGGTTGAGTCTGTTTTTACCCTTTAATGATCAAAGACGGGGTGGCACGGTGCAAGGATGGCCTGCAAGAATGGCCTGGGTTCGATTCCCGGCCGGGCGACCAGGGTCATTTCTGTGTGGAGTGTGCATGTTCTCCCCGTGTCTGCGTGGGTTTCCTCCGGGTACTCCGGTTTCCTCCCACAGTCCAAAGACCAATTGGACGTGCTAAAATTGCCCCTAGGTGAGAGTGAGTGAGTGTGTGTGTGTGACTGTGTATGTCTGTCTGTCTGCCCTGTGATGGACTGGCGACCTGTCCAGGGTGTATCCTGCCTTCCGCCCAATGACAGCTGGGATAGGCTCCAGCGACCCAGAAGGATAAGCGGTTTAGATGATGTATGTATGTATGTATGATCAAAGACACAAAATATGATTAACTAGCATCTATGCAAATGCCTTGACATTAATAATTTATTGCAAATAATTTTCTGTAAATCTATAATGTAAGTAACCAGGTTGAACCTTTAGAGTGTCTCCAGGCAATATCACAACATCACAAAAAAAAAGAACGAGAAAACCCTTCTCTTCTTCTCGGGATCTTCAGGAAGTTAAGAAGAATAATGATTTGTTGAAGATATCCCAGATATTTTACAGAGGTGAGTTTGTGAGAAGGGTCTAACTGCAGAGTCACAGTACCGCACTCTCAGACCTGTCAGACCCTCACTCTCAGACCTGGGCTGTCACACCCTCACTGCCTGATCCAGGCTGTTAGACCCTCACTCTCAGATATGATGTTAAATAGAGGTTGAGACCTTGCATGGCTGAATCTCCCTACACAGTGCACTCACTGTATGAGTCAGTAAACTATGACTTCTGCGCACAAATAGTGCTCAAAATGATAGACAGGAAGTCGTGCTAATGGCTGAATAGTACTGATTTACACTTGTACAGTATCAAAATGTACGTTAATACAGAAAAAAAATGTTTCACTAAATACAAATAGTTCCTCTTTCTAGATGATTTCTCTCATCCAGTCAGAGTATTGCGGTAGACGTTCAATCCACCGTTTACTGTTGTCATGAGAGCCCCAGTGCCTAAACAGAGGCGCAGGGAGCTGAAAGCGTGGGGGGCTAAAGTTGCCGTGCTGCGGCTCCGCGGACGGATACTGCTGAAATGTGTTGAGGTAACTGAGTGAATGGACACAACTAAAAAGTACATTTTTCATAACCTGTAATAAACGACCCATGGAAAATGACACCTAAAGCATGAGATGTTAAAACGGATTCATGGATTAATGTAAAAATATATTCTAAAATATTGCATTGGCTTTAATTCAAGGTAAAGTGTTATTTTAGTGAGCTGGGACAGGAAAAAAAAAGATTTATAAGTAGGTTTTATTAATATTTAGTAAACACATGACACATGCACATCGGTGTGTGTGAAGGACTTCACCTGTGTCTTTACTTTACAGGCATATCTATAAATGTAACGTCATTGGGACACAAATGGAACTTAAATCGTGGAATCACCCATTAATCACCCAGATAGCAAGACGAGCTACTCGAATAACCGGCGGGAGGGTAATTATGGGTAATTCAGCCCGCCTAGCAGATGGAAATGGAGAAGAGGAGAAACCTACTGCTCCTGTCCTCCTCCTCCTCCTCCCCAACCCATTAAGAACGCGGAGGAATCGAGGAGAGGAAAGAAGCTGGAGGAACGGAGAGATATTCCGACAGCGGATAAGATGGCGTTACAAATTCGGCTTCCGGGTCACGGAGAAGAGGAGGAGGATCGGTAGGGAAAAGCGGTAACTTTCAGGGTTTCTGGAGCCCTGGTCTCCTGCTGTCTGCAGCAGTCGTCATGTGCGCATGCGCATGAGGAGCATCCACCGGCGGCCAGTGGTACTGACCCTGCTCATATTATACGGGTGGTAAATGACCGCCCCTACAGACTGGAGCCTCTGTACAAAACATACTGTAGCGTCATGGATGGCCCAGAGACTGGGTTTTTACCTTGGCTCCGTCCGGATTCCTCGCTGTAGCGATTATCCTTCCTGGAGAAAAGCTGCCAGTCACGAAGCTTTCGACTATTTGTAAACCGAGGCCTCGGTTAGCTCCGGTTACCAGGACACTTCTGCAGTTTTTAACTGCGCCACTCATGGTGCTACTGAAAGTACTAACAATTAAGATCCTGTCTGCCCGTCGTGACAGCACCTCCTGGATCTGCCCCAAACCTGGACTGTCACATGACAGGGGAATTAATTACCAACACTCCCCTACACTAAAGAGGATCTGCACAAATCTCTGACCCCTCTCTGCGCAACACCTCCTTCAAAGCTGTTAAAGACACAGACAATAAATCATCCAGGCTTTAACAGTAAAAATACAATATCTATGCTTTAATGCAAATCTTCATTACATTCATCTTGAAATGCACAATTAAGCCAGGGTATATTTTCTGTACACCCCTTAGAGAGGCCTCTTCATACGTGATAAGTACATGCATAACTTCCTAAAATAATACATTTCATAAAATGTCATGGTTCTCTTACCAGATGTGTCTGAGAGGCCCATTTCACCTTTACATGTGGACCTACTTGACTCTGGGATGACAGTGCGCCACCAAGTTACTTTTACCAGAAAAATCCACAATCCCCCAAATTTTTTTTAAGCTCACCTTTATTTGCTTACTGCATAAGGTACGAGTTACACATATGACATTTCATTTATTGACACGGTTGACACGTGTGTTGAGAAAACTTTGAGAATCTGATAACTGAGTCTGCTTTTGGAATGACAAGAACCATGAACCAAAGCTCCACAGAAACTAAATAACCATTTATAAACTACCAAAGTCACAAATCATGCATTTAACCTCATGAGAAGAGAAACTGTTTGTTTGGCATGGGCAAGTCAGTGACATTCCTTACACTGACGTAACACAGTCAGAACTGTTCCTTTACTGAAAATGCTGAAGTCTAAGGCCTGTGTCTAATCTGTGCGCAGCCTATACTCCCACAGCCACTGGATGGCAGACTTTAGCTACAGGTGAACAGACTAGAGAGGCAACGTTCACCTCGACACACAGCACAAGAAATGTAACTTTTTTGAATTCAAATGAACTATTGATTATTCGTTTATCCTTTTAGGCTGTTTTTTAACCACTGAATAAACAGATCTGGATCAGACACACTGTGGTTATATAATATATTTACAAATAAATGATTAAAGACCAGGACATAATTCACACCCACCCAGTAAGTAGCGGGATGTATCTTTGTGCAAAGATGAGTACAGTGCAGTGCAGCCTCCTCTAAATGAGAGACTATTTATCTATCATCAGTTCAAGATTCGTAATGGAGTTATCTGAGCTAGAATTACGAGATGACAGACTGAGGTGACATTACAATAAATTACAGACAAGAGAGCACACCCTAATCACACTCCATGCCCAGTCTGTCACCTTCACTCCTTAACACATACGGTCTCCACTGAAAAGTGCCTTTGCTCCATTGGTAGCACAATAATTACCCATGAACGCTGCTGGGACAAAGACCACAAACCAAGGTTACTGGTTACTGATTCTTGTGGTCAAATTATCGGTTTAAAATACCACACATTAGTGATAAGCATTCAAGGAACTGCTGACTTAGTTTTACACGTTAGCCTTACATTTTCCTCATAATGGGTTTGGCTTTTTTTGTATGGTATAGTTCATTTACCAGCAGTGGGGAAAAAGACCACCAACATGCTGTGCTCTTTGGGAACTTTCTCTTATGTACAATATCAATTTAGTTTTACCTAAAATACTATTTTTTATCAAAGGGAAATGCATGATAAGTGCTATTGTTAAACTTGTCCTGGGTCTGCCTATGTTTAAGGGGCTCTTCGCAGGTAAACGAATGATGTTTGAAGAAGAGCTCTCAGTATACAGTATTACACTCCCAAGAAGAGATACTAAATTAATTTATATGAAATTCCTTTTTTTTCTGTGCAACTCCAATTTCCTTCTCTCCACTACAGTCTGCAAACACTACAGGACACTGGCTTCACTTAGTGACAGCATGAATGGCGTGTGCCAGGTAGCCAACGTTTCCAGAGGTCACTCCTGCCATGGAGATACGGCCATCTTTCGTCATGTAGACGGAGTATTCTTTGATCAGAGGCTCAACCTGCAGATGAGTGGTGAACACAGAAAAACAATGAAGTCAGTGAGGGAGGACTGAAAGGAGGCAGTAAACATACACTACAGGCAATTACTGATGGGTATTTCGAGCAATAGTAGTGATTGAGAGTTCCAACATAATGAGTAATCCATTTTCAATTTTAATTTACTGAAGTTGCATGTAATATATACTGTATTTTATTCATTTCTATTCATCCACATATTAATCCCCTACATTCACTGGCCATTTTATCAGAAATACCTACCATCATGTACACTTCCAATTACTGACTGTAAATGGCATCTGGTGCTGCCATTTATCAACCCCCTTCTCCTCTCTACCCAATCCATCAGCGGAAAGGGACGACCACAGGACAACCACTGATAATATTTGGGTGATGGTCAACTCTCAGCACAGCAATGACTCTAAATAATAGTTGCACTAATTCGGCACATTGGCTTTGCTGGGGTTGATAGGCCTCTTAAAGCATGTACAAAATACACTCATGCTACGTTTTACACTTGCATCTGATGTATTAAAAAAAAAATTCCCTCAATTCTAGTTCTGCTATAAAACAAGCGTTATTATCTGCCACTGAAGAGATTCGGTGTTCAACTGCTTTTGCATGCAAGACACACTGATGTTCTTTTAAAAGTGAATTTGAAAATGTGAATTAATAGAAAAACAATACTTTTTAGAAACTGAATGAGACATTAAATAGTACATCAACCTTAAAATTTCATTTCAGTTCAGAATTCAATTTCAAATATAATTCAGATTCAATATAATAACATTCAAATTTAAATTTCTGAAACTCCATAACCATACTCTCTAACAACAAGAAAGGTAGCTTAGCAACACTACCATGTCATGTACGTAGTTTGGCTGAAATATGTACTGCAATCTGTCTTTTGTCTCAAGCAATGCAACATCTAACTGCAAATTTTGAGTAGTCTTTCACTAGTCGACCAGGTGGCTATGAGTACTCTGTGCCCATCTCTGCAGGCAATAGGCTTGTTAGCTGACTAACCTGCTCAGGTTTGAGGCCAGTGAAGCAAAACATGCCGATCTGGTCGGTGACATGCTGCCAGTTGTGAGTGGATCCTTCCTTTTTGAGGTTTGAGACGAGCATCTCCCTCATCTTAATGATGCGATCAGCCATGCTTTTCACCTCCACCAGCCTGACAAAAAAAACAAAAAAAAAACAAACCAAAACAAATAAACCCACATTTTTTACTATTGTACCAACATCCATCATCAAAAATTAAGTATCTTTATATGAGTGCACTGCTTCCAGAAGTTTTAGCCAACTACAAATGAAAGCTAGCATAACTCCAACTGCATAACACTACATGGCCCTGGCTAACTGTCATTATTAGAAATGTTAGCATTTCAGATAAAATCTCTTTTTCAGACTAACCACTCCTTGTAGAGTTCGGGTGTGGTAAGGATGGTTGAGGCAATGCGGGCACCATTCATGGGGGGATTGGAATACATTGGCCGGATGAGGATCTTCAACTGTGACTCCACACGCTTGGCCTCCTCAGCATCCTTGCACACCACCGTAAAGCCTCCAACACGCTCACCTGCCCACCACACATACCACAAATCAGCCTCAGGACAGAACAAATGAAACAGCTCCTATTTTACTTTCTTAACTTACAAAAATAATAACACACTTGTTTTTTAGGTCATTTTTTCTTTATTACACTAAGTTCTATAGTGTGCAGCACTCACCATATAGACCCATATTCTTAGCAAAGGACTGGGAGAGAACAATGTTGTGGCCTTGCTCAATGAAATGGCGCACAGCCCAAGCATCCCGGTCAATATCCCCACTGGCAAAGCCCTGGTAGGCCATGTCAAAAAACACCAACAGATTTCTTTTCTGTTGGAGAAAGAGATTAAAGTACAATTAGTACAGTTGTTTCTCAACCTACTTAGCCAAGCAGGGAACATATTTATTTAAAACAGATAGTTTCATAACTCTAACGTGCAGTACCTTGATCACACTAGCCATCTCTTTCCACTGTTCAGGTCTTGGGTCCACTCCTGTGGGGTTGTGTGCACACGCGTGCAGTACAATCACACTCTTCTCTGGAATTTTCTGAAGGAGATAACCAGTTACAAAGAACCCTCAACAAAATTGTTTTTTTTTTTATGTTATCATCTATTGTTTGGCAGACCTGGTAGTTTAATACACTATATCAATTCACCTCAACTACTTTAAGATCAGTGACACACTTAAGTATCAATGCCAAAATTAAAATAAAATGAGTATGTCATTTTATACAAAATTTGACTTTTCCACAACCTGTTAGCGATACAGTCTTTGATTTATAAACCTCAATTTTAAAAAATTGGGTCAGTCTGTGAAGAGTTCATAAAAACAGAAAGCAGTGAATTCTGTTTGATCAGTATTAAACTGAAAACTGTACTAAAACATAATATTTGACATTTTACCTAATGAACATTGAAGTGTGCAACACATTCCAAAAAGTTGGGAGAGGAGCATGTTTACTACTACTATGTAGTACTACTTTCCTTTCAACAACACTTAATTGTTTGAGGACTGAAGACACTGATTGCTCCAGTTTTGAAAGCAATTTTTTTTGCTTTCTTTCGTTATACAAGTCCTACAAGGCTGCACAACTCCATATGGCGCAACATATTTTCAATGGGGGACAAGTCTGGGGTGACATTATAGGCAGGTCAGTGTACAGTCTAACACCTGCACTCTCAGATTACACAGCCATGCAGAATGTGGCTTGGTGTTGGCATGCTGAAATAAGCATGTATGCCCCTGAAAAAGACGTCATATAGAAGACAACATATGTTACTCCAAAATAATATCATAAGGAAGAGTGGCAGACAAGCAATAGCCACTCTTCAAAAAAAGAAGAGAAAGAGACACTGTGCTACTTTCCCTTTCCACCAGTACATGTGAGCGTGTTTTCTGAAGAAAGTGCCATGAATACTGAGAGATTGCTCCTTTTTCCAGTAACCTGTTTCAGAACAGCAGGTTGTTGTAACTCCACACAGAAACCTGCTTAACCCAAAAAAAGTAAATACACTTGAGTTTCTGCTCAGAAACTTGTAACCTGTACAACTTGCTTCTTGTTAAAATAAAATGGTTGAAGATTACCAAGAAGTCAACTTAAAGGCTGCTGTTATTGTAGAATTCCTTTTCTGCAATTGTAGATTATTATATTATTATTATTATGCTAATACTACGCTTTGTCTTTTTTGTTTTTATTAACTTTGATCTAACACAGGGAGCCATTCTGTGCATGCAAGGCTACAGCTTGCCATTATCTTTCACAGGCACAACTACAGATTTAAAAAAAAAGAAAAAAAAAGTGATGACATTAAAAGATTTTTCAGAATGAGCATACACTTACAAAACAACAAAAAAAAAACAAAAAAACAATGAAGGCGGCAAGGCAAATGTTTAAACACAGGTGGATTAAATCACTGCTTTCTGTTTTTATTTGTATCTCACATAATGCCTTTTTTGGAACTGAGGTTCATTTTTCAGTGCCTATACTGACCTCTAATAAATAACTGTGTAAGGAAAACAAAGAATTGATCAACTGATGGTATTTAATTTCTTTATTGGACTGCCATTTTCTGAAATATTTTAGGAAAAAATGCAGACTCAGAGGGAGAAAAAAAAAATACAATTCACATATGGTCTGAGAGTGCTCGAAGCACTAAAATTACAGAGTATAAACATGATAAGTATAAAGAAGCCTACTTTGAGTAATGTGTTTTGCAATATTTACTGTTCTGAATTTCAGTTCAAATCAAAAACAAAAATTTCATCTTACTGAAATGTCATCGAGGGCCCCACTGAAGTCGAAGCCACAGGTCTTTGGGTCGTAGTATGTGTAAGCTTTCAGCTGCATGCCTGCATCCCTGAAGATGGGTGTGTGGTTGCCCCATGAAGGCTTAGGCAGATACACATCCTTTCCTGCATTGTGGAATCGTGCCTGCAACAAAATAGGGATGGAAAGCAGAAATGTAGTAAGACAATTATTCCTTAATGCTGTATGTAAGTCACAGACTGAAAAATTACCAACCAGGAAGTTAGCTCCAACACGGAGAGATCCGGTTCCTGAGATGGTCTGGACGGTGACACTCTGTGCATGAACAGAGGGATAATAAACACTGCTCAAAACGAATCTTCTTTGAGTTAACTTCTCTTTTAAATGTTAGATATAAAACAATATAGCTATTGGGATCTTCTCCATACCCTGCCACTCTTGAGGACTTCATTGTCAGGTCCAAGAGCCAGCTGTGCACAAGCCTTTGTGAAATCTCCCAGGCCACCAATGGGAAGGTACTCTTTATCCAGGTTCTTGGCAGCAATCTGAGCCTCAGCCTGAGAACACCAACATTTCACAGTCAGTTAAACTTATGGCTTCTTTTAAACTTGAATTAAAAAAGCAAATAATCTTTTAGAAACAAATGATTAACACAAATGATATTAAGTGACTAATAATGCCCTCAGCAGTACCTAACTATTTATATACATTGATATTTAACCATGAAAATAAAAGACCATTTAAGTTGTACTACACAAAAATAAAGTTGCACCTTGCGGACGCAGTTAAGGACATAGGGCTTGCCCTGGTCATCACGATAAGCTCCCACTCCAAGATTCATCTTCTTAGGGTTGGTGTCACGCTTGAAAGCTTCTGTGACCCCCAAGATGGGGTCAGGTGGGCCCATCTGTACCTCAGACCACCATGAGCTGCAACATACAGAGTACTTCAGTATAAAGCAATTCTTTACTGTGCAGGTTAATATAAGGATTAAAACAGATCAGGAAAAACTATTTACTACTGTACATAATATACTTTAAAACATTAATGTTTAAATAGGTTGTTCCAATCAAACAAGTAATGATTGTCTATTTCAAAGGTCTGGTTAAAAAGGTCAGATACCAGTTGCATAACCTCCAGAGACATGCTGAACTGGAATACTCTCGGGTTCCAAGTTCAATCACTGATCTCTGAAGAACTTGGAGTGTTGTCAACATCAGAGGTTCAATATCTTTAAATATAGCCTGCCTCTCACGCACTCTGGTGCTGCATTCATCTGGGGTTCACACCAAGAATAGGCTCAGGCTGTGTTTTCACTACAGCTTATCACCTGGACCTCACTAGTGATAGGCTTTATTTTGCAGTTCAACTATTCAAAACAGTTGCCACCAAGATGCAAATAAAAGCTTGGTTCACAGATTTTTCTTCCCACTAAGATAGCTGAGGATTTCAGTAATAACTCATTGTGAAACTCAAGTACTACCACTAATGAGGCTTACTTTTGAGGGTCATGTGAGAACTTCAAGGGCTTAAGATGGCCTCATGAGGAGTTAAACAATGTAATTTGGTTTGAACTGCTTACACAAAACACTCAATTCACATTTAATCTAAACATTATTACACATTACACATGAGTAATTGGTTGGGTCATTCAAATAAAGTACGGATGACAAAAGCTGCTGTAACAAAAGACTAGACCTGTGGGCTTAACAGAGACATGTGCCATCCACCTCAAACCAATGAAGTCTGGTATCCAGCACCCACCCTCCTGGTTACAACCAATCCAGAGTCATCTACAAAAACTCCCTACACCCAGCCCTCTATGAGCATTAAACAGTACTTTGCTCCAAATGTAAGTAATTATGGTAATGCTACAGTGGTCTACAACTCAGACACTGAGCTGAACATATTCTTATTCAGTTGTACAGGTATCACCGTTATCCTTTAGTCTTTCTCTGCACTGAAAGTATTAAAAATGTAACCATCATTTCTATAGAAAGGGGTTTTCCCACTTTTTGCTTTAGAACCATAAAAGAAGGCTCTGAATGCCACACTGAAACCACTCCTACTTGCTCAGTGGTCTAAACCAATAATTTTGCATTATGCATTGTCGCATTACTAACCATACATCAGTTACAGAACCAGAGAGGAATATGACCACGTGTGCATCCCCTTGTAAGGGTTCTCTCCCCACTGTCATGACTCATAGCATCATTTAAAATTTTCACTCAGTATAAATCTGATGATCTGCCTCTGCACTTTGTGAAACAAGCACTCTGGAACCCTGTGTTTCTACAGTATCAAGTTTAATGACCTGAGGACTGAGAGAATATTTGTTAACCCATGACTGACTCAGTGACACAGCCAACAGCCTATAACGAAAATAGACAGTTTTCAATAGCTCTGATGTATATGGATCTAAAAACTACACATTCGCAAAATGCATGCAGTATCATTAGACAGGTAACAGTATAGTGACAAAAGATGAGCTAATCCGTAATCCGTAAGGCAGAGATGGGCGATACAGAAAACAATATCACCACAATACTTTCAGAATTTTTCACGATACGAGGTAAGTCACAATAGTTTTTTTGACATCTGATAAATTGTAATGGATAAAAAAAAATAAATAAAAAAGAAACAAATAACTGCTCTCTCTTTGAAATGGAACATGCAGTTGGTCAGCGTTTTTAAGTACTGACAACATCCTTGATATACCACAAAAACTTCTTGTGACAAACTGTGAATAATTGTCGCGATTGATATTATTCTATTGCCCTGCCATACCGCACCATGAATCAAACTACGGGGATTCGTCTGAAAGTAAACTGGTCAAATCTACTGCAGATTAATCCGGTATAACATACAAAATTACAAGCCACCAGGCCAGAACACCATCAGTCAGCGCCGAGGCAGCTGATCATCAGGTAATATTATAAATGTGGGCTGGTTGGCTCTTATTCTCCTTCTGTTCCGCCGGCTTTTGCTGTTAGAGTAAGCATGAATTTCCGGGCTGCTCGACACAGCAGCGGTGAACCAAGACACCCTGGGATATCAGAGACATGAACAACCTTGGGATAGCCGCACTAGCTAGCTAAAGGATAGCCGGCGAGGCCCTTGCCTTGGTTGAACGTGCTAGCTTGCTTTAGCCTGAGCTAACGTATGTTAGCTAAGCTATCTAGGTTAGCTAAGCTATCTAGGTTAGCTAAGTTAGCCACGCTATTGGCTACTACCAGCTGCCAGCTTGCTAACAGTCCAGAGACACGTGTTAAATTATTTCTCAAGGTGATGCAGAATAAGCTCAAATGGTCATTGCGGAGCTCCAAGACGGCACTCGGCAGTCCTCAAAGTTAGCGGGCTGGCTAGCTAGCTAACTTACCTGACAATAGTTTATTTGTTTATATAACATACATACATGAATTACAGAATTAGAGCATGGGACATTTTTTCACTCCACATGGTCACAATTTTCAGTGACTTAGCTAACCTAATCTACAAGCTAGCTAGCGTCCTGGTGACCGGAGAGATGCACCGCGCTGGGCAAGTTGAATACAGTGGCAGTTCCTAGCCAATGAGCTAGCTAGGTAACGTAGCTAGCTGAACTGACAGTTTTTCCCCATGTTAGAACTAAAAGTAATTTAAAAGTCCACATTACCTCGCACGGAGAGGCAGCACGCCCAGAGCGGGGCTGTAAACTCCGACAGCTGAAATAATCTTGCTGGATTTCAGCAGGGCCATGGTTGCGACTGTGCTGGACTGAAAGCAGAGGAGGACAGCAGTAGCAGGGTTGCAGAAATGAGCCACGCTGGCGTGAAAGAGCGCCGCCAAGGGCACTGCAACCGATACTGGAGCTACTGCAACGCCACCACAAGCACGTTCACCACCTCTCAGAGTAGGCGCCTCAAACGAGAGGCATCAAAAAGCAGGAAGCATACACCGACCAGACACTTCATTAAGTACACCTCCTTGTATCCACAGTCATTGTCCAATTTATCACCTCCACTTACCATTTAAGTGCCCTCTGTAAATCTACAAAAATACCCAAATAATGCCTGCTTTGTAGGGGTCTTGTGGGGTTCCTGATCATAAAAGAACAGGGTAAAAGGGGGATAACAAACTATGCAGATAAACAGATAGACCACCGCCTGTAACTGTAGAACTATACAATGCACCTATATGATAAGTGGAGCTTCTTAAATGGACAAAGACCGTAGAAACAAGGAGATGTAGTCAGTGAAATGGCCAGTCTTTGTTTATTTACCTTAAAAAATCCACAAAGCCTCCTACACTGAATATAATTTCAAATCCATCAGTATTTCATTTGTTCATTCTTTACTTTTACACACCCTACTGACAATTTAAAGGGGAATTCCACTGGTTTTCCAAACTTCCTGCATAATTTAAACATAAAGATGTAAACAATCATTCAAAATGGTTTGATGTAAAATGATCTGTTCTACAGAAATGAGAGTCAGAATTGTTCACAGTGGTGGTGATAGGAACCAGACATCCGAGGAATTTTATGCCTCCAAAACCTACATCACAAAATGTCTATACATGACACAGTAATGAATATCGCTGCTGTCGGACCAAAACCTCGTATCTCCATTTTTGTGGTTTTTCAGTTTTTGACATGATTTGAAAATGTTTACTGTCCTTTATATTTTGGGTAAATTTCATAATGAATGGACAAAAAGAAATGGCCCAGAATTCAGCATATTATACATTATTATTATTATTATTATTATTATTGCAGTTTAAGGAATGCAAACATTAATATCAGTCTTTCTGTGTATTATGTGCGCTCATGTTATTTTGTGACTTGTTAAAATGCACCAAATATCAAAGACGAATTTACTGGAACCATCAAGAACACAACAGATTTTAACAGTGACCAACGTGGGATTTTTCCTAATAACAGCTCTGGAATTTTCGTGGATATTCCCTTTTGGTTTCGAGCCAACCGAATTATGACCTGTCCAGTCTGAAAGGATTTCCATGAAAAGGTAAAAAATGACATAAATCAAAAAGATTACACTCTAATTTAATTCTTACAACCATGAAAAATTTCAGATTTGTGCTCCAAGTGCTTTTTAACTTATTTTCTGACTCTTTAAAGTCTACATACATAAACATAACATAAATTACACATTACACTATGTAAATTACATTTTTAGTTATTTAACATGTAATTTATGTATATAATTATTTGCTTGAACTCAAATATTAACTCATCAATATCTCAATATCAATACACTAGAAACAATATTTAATCTCAACATTTCAAGTCATCTAGCTCTAAAATGTTATCATTGAAATTGAATTTTTCAGTCAGCTTTCCAAATTATTAAACATGTTATAAAAATTATAAAAACATGACATTTTTTACTAAGAAGCACAAGAAAAACCAAATGGTAAAGCTTTCAGTGGAAAAACGCTGGATTTCCAAAATAACCTCTACAGTGCTCCAGAAGATCTGTACCATACAGTCAAAGCTAATACGTTCTTCTCTTTATTATAATGCTTAATATTTCTGTTTTTTAAATATTTAACATTCTAGCTCAGTTCAGTCATTGATTGGAGCAAACTTCAAATAATCATTACTTAAAAAGTAAAAAAGGTGCACAGCTTAGAAACTTTGCATGGTTGTAAGAATTAAATTGAAGTGTAATTTTTTTACTTATTTTTTAATTTTTAACGGCACAAACCAGCATAAACGCAGCACAAAGGAATGAGACTGGTTTGGTGTGATTTGGACGTTAATAGGAGATTGAGTGACATCATTTATTTAAAAAATATTCCTTGGCCTACAAATTGCTAATTAAACCAGCAGATATTTCTTTTACACAAACTAGCACAAATGCAGGACTTTGTACGATTTAGACGCTGATGGGGTGAGTGACGTCACAGGTAATAAATGTTTAATTTCTCAAAAACTGTGCCAGCACAAGAGCTTATTCCTACAGCACAAACCAGCAGTAGTATTTTTATTCCATCTCTGACCACATGGGGGACCAGCTTCACGGAGCTTCTCCTGAAAAGAATAGAAGCTGTAATGAAGGCAAAGACTGGACACACTAAATAATGAAAACATAATATATTGTAGTAAGTTACAGAGACTCCTTTGTAACTTTCTGTTAAATGTGTGTTTCTGTTAACTGTGTGTGCTGACAAGTTAATAACTTGTACTTAATAGCAATTTTAACTGTCCAACAATACTGTACGTCCAAACATTTTGAACACCTGCACATTTAGCATTGTTTTTTGAAAATCTAGAGTTGCAGTAGCCCCCTATTAAGACTTTAGTCAGCATTCAGCATTCAAGAACATGAGTGAGGTCAGGTTAGGCTACTCTTTGTATATGATTCTTTATCCGTTTTTATTTCATTGTTACATTGGTTACTGCATCTATACTCTTGCAAGTGGTAAATAATAACTTTTGAGGTTATCATTTTATTTTAGAGCAAGAACATCAAAATGGAAATTTCCTCTGCTGATAAATCCTGCCTGTAATAAAAAGTTCCACTGCAGGTTACTCAGTAACGCAGTGTATTTAGTGTATTGTAGTGTATTTCTGACTTTTGTGCTTAAGTTAGATTTCTTGGTGAGGTACTTTTACTTCTACCTGAGTCAGTATTTCACAGAATAAACAAGACTTTTGAGAAGGATTTTAGGCTACTCACTTCTGGTCACAAGTGACAAATTCATGTTTCAAATGCCTCCCACGGCCTCCACAACTCAACCAGATCTAAACTACACTGCATTTTCTAGGGGAGGTTCTGGATCACACAGTGTGAAGCAGACCACATGCTTCTTGAAAAGTAACACAGTTCACAACTTAAACAACAGCATAAAAAGAAGGAATGGAGCAGTTCTAGGGGCAAAATGTGCCTCTAATTCATATTATGAACTTGGTATTAGGTGTTTTTGTCATGTCCACCAAAAGCAAGACACCAATGACTGCCCAATGTGGTTGACTGAGGAGACATGGGCAGCATTTAACCTCATCCTGGTGGTCAGGAAACTCCTTTTTGTGACTTATGACCACCGTTCCTCTACACTGATGCAGTTTGTCTCTGTTTTGTTCTATAGCTTACAGCTGTCATATATGGATACTGCCATTCAGGCTAACACACAGCCACCTTTGTAACTGTCACTTCAAAGTTCAGCTCCTCTTTCATATAGTGTCACCATTGTTTTGTGCCTGTACATTGCAAGCCTTCCGTCTTGTACTCTTTCTTGTCTGTTTTAAACCAAAAAACATTTAAGCATTTCTGAAGGTGCATGTAAAATGCATCCCTCATAATTGTAAAAAAAAATCTTTAAAAACCCTCAAGGCAACTGAAAATTCAGCAGTGAGAACTAATAGGACTAGAAATAGCCTAGTTACTTACACAAAAAAGGGACTTGTCTCATTTGAACTTGGCTGCAATTTAGACATCTTACTACAAGCATCAATTTTCTTGAACTGAAGAATACCCATAGGGGTCTGTCAGATTAAGGAAATAATATGGAGGAGGCTGAAGAGTCACTACCATGGCATCAAGGCGATGGGCTGGCACTTAATACTGTGTTTTTATGCAGTAACACTGCCTCCAAGTGGATTCTTTTTGCTATTGCAGTAGTTTAAAGGCAGTGTCTGTACACCGTTGTGACTTCCTCAATATCTGGACATGGAATACTGCAAAAAAGGCAAATTCCACTTTGTTATGTCTATTCAAGTTACAAAAATAAAATAAAATAAAATTATTGCCTAGTGTTTGGTTCATACACTTCCCTAAATTCCAGCTGTTCAGGTGATGCAGTCACAGAAAGAGTCACCTGGATATTAAAACTACAGCAAGCCAACAGTCAAGGATGTCAGGAAGTGAACAAATATGCTAGATCCAGCTCATTCAGGAATGATTATCCAAGCTAGGTATGCTGGAACTAAACTTCACAAGGCTCTATTTTGTGGTACATGCCATCAATCTCATCAGCAAAGTACCAGTGTGGCTGCATGTTTTAATTCCATTCCTGAAGGAGCACATACAACTAACAAGTTATTTGATGACTGAAGCCAATTGATGAAACAAGTGGAATCAGACTACTAGAGCAGAGGTTCTCAACAGCAAGGAAAATAATGTGCTAGAGCACGGAACAAGCTAAAATGTGCAGTAACAGGACGCTCCAGGAGCAGGATAAAGAAGCACTGCTCTGAGACACTGAAGGAAAGCATTGTGGACATGATGACGATTAACACGCTGGATCATGAAGTCCTACTTTAATACACAGACATAGAAAAACAAGAAGCAGAAAACTCTCACACAAGGAGCCACAAAGCTTAATGCTTTGTTGCATTATCAATAATACATTTAATGCTTTTAGCCTTAAGATGTTGTGTAGCTGGATTTGGAAAATGGAGCCTGTAACCTTCAGGAATTAATGGCTATAAGATAAAAGTGGCTGAAACTATCTTTATAAATCTCTGTTTACAGCTTTAATTGCCTTAAGGCTTAAATCTCAGTTCCAGTCTCCTTTAATTTGTAATAGCCCTATTTCTGTGGTCTGATTAACAATAATGGGCTGAACTACTGGTATGTTAGGACAGACATAATCTGATGCAGTATTTCCTCTAGTAAATCAGTATTTCCCAAAACGGTCCTCAAGTGCAAACTGCTCAGTCTACATTTTCACTCTATCCCACCTTCAGACACACCTGAACTAAGTGCTTAAAAGAATGGTCTGCAGATTGTATTGTGTGGCTACTTCACACACATTGTTTTAATGTGCTATTTTGTGTGTTAAGTGGAGATTTAACAAATGATAGTGACCATCAGGCTCAAGATGGTTTCATTCAGTGAAAGAAATCCTTCAGTGGCCAATTTACTCCAGCATTAAGCCCAAGAAGACAATGGATGAAT